TAATTGTTTTATTATTTATTCAAAATAATTCCAAGTTTAAAAACATAGCTTAAACAAGCTTGCCTGCATCCATGTTAAGTTTATCTTCGATAGTTTACGTTTAGGTTTGTCCAGCTCCGCAAATGTTCTCCAAATAGCAGATGTCGCCCTCCCAGTTGTCTTCTTGCTGTTTTTGCTATGTTTTTAGCCATTATTTCGCCTCGTTCCAGCTGTAGTTCTTACTCTTTAAACGAGTGAAGTTTTTACAACGAAAACTCAATTTCGTCCCCAGGTCTTCTCGGTTAAAGGTACATTAACCTGTAGAAAGCTGCATTTTTGATGTCAGTTCCTCGTTAAACACAAAATTCTTCCAAATTTGGTCATCAGTAACTGGTTATGGTGAATTCTGCGTGTGCTTTTAGCCAATCAGAATTGGGGAAATATTTTGAATGAATAATAATATAATTTATGCATTAGGTTCGGTACATGAAAAGTTCGGCGTCTGAAGCAAAGCCGTTCCAAAGCCGTTCCACGGTCGAAATTCCCGGCGGGCTAGGCGTAAAGAAAGGCTGAGCCGTTCCAAATTGAAATAGGCGTTCCTAACTGATTTGGACGCCGAACTTTTCATGTTCTTAATTCAATGTATTACGTTCGGTTCATGAAAGGATCGGAGTCTGAACCGGGCCTAAGATCGTCGTTCGCATTTAGACGCATGTGTCTAGTACAAAAACAGGACACCATTAACTGGGATGCATTTATGCCCAACTCGTCCAGAATAGACTGGGAATAGTCAGTTTTTTTTTTAAAATCTATTGGACGTCTATTAGACGTTAAACGCATCTAAAACGACTTTAACGTCTCTAGCATAAGAGAGGCCAATGTTCCAAGAGATGGGGACACTTGCAATTTAACGAAACAGAAGTCAGCATAAAAATGGTAAATAAGGCAGACGCATTTTAAAAACTAACGATTTTAAAACCCCCTCTTTTAAGTTCGTCGTTCAAATTCAGACGCACTTAACGGACGACTTTAACGTGTCAGACTACGTTAAATGCGTCTAGTATAAACAGGACGCCGTTAACTGCGACGCTTTTATGGTCTAGAAATGACTGGGAACAGTCAGGGTTTTTATATTCTGTTTGACGTCTCAGATGTTAAACCCGTCTTGATGACTATAACGTCTCTAGGATAAAAGAGGTCAATGTTCCAAGAGATAAGTACACTCGCAATTTAACGAAACATAGGTCAGGATAGGTTCCTCATCTCAACAGATTTTTGTCTGTTACATGACTGTGTGGAACCTGCAGGGTTTTCTTCTGAGGGGGAGGGGAGGGGGAGGGCTTGCATGCTTTAGAATTCGTGAATTCGTTTGGTTTGTGGTGCAAAAGAAGAGAATTCGCGGACTTTTTCTTATTTCCACCTGAGCAACTGCTCTCTCATTGTAAACAGTAACTCTAACAGATACTACTCTCATTGGAAAAAAATTAACGCTAGCTTGTTTTCAGTGACACATTTATTTTAACCAACCTTTTAACAAGAAAAGACATTTTTTGGCGTCCTTAAAATAAAACTTTTAAATACCTAGAACTAGTGTCCACTTAAGAATAGTGATTTGCTCTTGATCCATCGAATGCTTCCTATTTTCGCGCAAAACGCTTTTTTCAAAATTATTTTTGATCAACAAGTACTACCTGTACTTGCTCATGCTAGTGGAAAACGAAGCCTTTCTCCTCGTTTAATCTTTAACAATTCTCTTGATAATAAAAATTTGGAATTAAAATCGTTAACTTTGAGAACAAGGAAGGAGAGAAAGCAGTGAAGTTGAATAATTAATATTGATTTTTCAGGACGGAAGATTTCCTTTCGATGGAAAATTGTAGCGAGTTTTAAGCCCAGCGAATATAGAAAACATTCGTGTCGAAAGCTAACGAAAACTGGCCAATAACGTTTACTTTAACAGATTTCATTAATTGGCACAACTACAGTTTCGCTGATTTTAATTAGGAACTACATGGTAAACTATTCTGTAAAACAAAAAGATCTGTTTTAGCACTAAAAATGGGGCCGTTTCGGTAAGTCTAATTTGGCTCCCTTAAATCAGAGTCAATACAGTCCAATTACTTAGGGCTGATTTAGACCCATAGCGCTGAAATGAACTTCAGCGTGGGCTGGGATAGCCTCCTGATTGGGCTGTTTCGGCCTAAATGGTGCTCAAATGGCTCCAGGAGGGGCTGAATCAGACTTTGGCCTACAGGGCTGAATTAGCACTATGGGGTTGAAAAAGATCTTTTTAATTTTCAGTTTATAATTAGTCTGAAAATCGTAACCATTTAATCGTAAAATGTTTGGACAAATTAACCTTAATTAATTAAATAAAAATTGGAACATTTTATAGGGTGTGGGCTGGGTTGTTTAAAGCAGGGTTAAAATAACCCAGGGTTAGTGAAAAATTTCAATTCACATATGAAAGCTTAAAAAGCAAATTCAGTTTTATTCTTTTTGTCCACAATTTGATGATTTGATGCTCTGAAAAGAATCGAGAAAATTATCCTGAAAAATGCTTTTTGAACAAAAGAAATAGAAACCTGGGTTAAAATTTAACCCAGGGTTAGCGCTAATCGGCCTTCAAACAACTGGGCCCTGGAGGGAGGGGAGGGAAAGATTGGTATCACCTCCCCCTTTACATCATCCCAATAAATAAAAAGAAGAAAACATGAGTCTTTACGCTTCGAAAATCTATTTTGGTCATTAAGGACCCAATCAGGTTTATTGACTTACGCTAAACTGATCGTGCTATCAAAATGTAGTTTTAACAAAATCTGAGGTATTGCAACATGTAAGGGAATCCAAGACAGTCTGGGATTCCGGATTCCACGCCATGGATTCCGGATTCCAGGTGCTGAATTCCGGATTCTTAGTCAGAGGAACTTGGATTCCGGATTCCAATCGTTAGAGGGATTCCGGATTCTACAACAATAATCTGCTGGATCTCGGATTCTACAAGCCAAAATTTCCCTGATTCCGGAATCTGGAATCCCTTACTGGGTCGGGAGGTAACTCTCAGTGAAAACCTGCGTACCAAGCAACAATACATCCTGTACAGTAAACTCTCTTCCACTATGTGAACTTTACATAGGAAAATATTTTGAAAGAAAATGTTGATACTCGAAAATGATTTGATAATAAAGTCTCGAATCTCCGTCGTGTTAAGTCAGTTGAAAGCACAACCCTCTGGGCTCCCCCCCCCTTCCAATCTCTACCAAATTTGGCACGTTTTATTCATTTCCTAAAGATGGTATCAGCTTCAGTACAACACTGTTCAGTTGAGGAAGCTGGTGCCGCGAAAACGTGAGAAATGTCGTTGAGTGTCCCAACTATTTGGTCGCACGGATTCTTTATTCAAAGATCTAAAGTCTTGAGACAAATTTGTGCTCTTTTGCACAACCTCGAGTTAGCGAAGAGTTAAGCGACTGGCAAAACGTGTTCACTATACCAAGGTTTCGTTTTTTCGAGGTTCTTTTTCATATATCTTACTATTTCTGGGCGAAAGAAACTCGTTCGTGATACCGAGGACTTCGTTATATCGAGGTTGTACTGTACACATGCCCACCCCACCCCCATCCCACCTACATCATTTTGAACACATGTACCCTAAGTTTAAGCTGAGTATCAATATTGGTGCATTTGTGAGTTGGGGAAGGGGTGGGGGGAGGGCAGGATAAACCAACACAGCCATTTATACTCAGATATGTATTTACCATCGTAGGCCTTGTTCCCATGTTAAGCAGACTAAGAACCGATAACTCGATAAGATTACTGTATTCATCATTTCGGTTTTTTAAGACGATCAATAATAATTTCTTGTTGCTGCATGGTTAAATGTAAAAAGGAAGAGACTCAAGTGTTGAGGAATGACACTTCCTGAATTTCCCTTCGTATTATAGACGCAGTTGAAAGTCTCGAACTACTCTAAAAATTTCATTTTTTTTTTATTCTTCAATTTTCCGTGAACAAGAAAAATTAGAGTTTTAATTGTATATGAGACTAATGTATGTAAACATAACGCTAAGTCTTAATATAAGGAAACAGAATTCGTTTTCTGAATCGAACGACTTTGCTACACATATTTTCTGAAAACAAGGTAAATAAAATTCCACTAATTAACACTTTGTTCTTCTAAGCTGCCTCACAATACAAATCCCTTGCACGCACCTATAAAAGAAAATAGTAACAGTGCAATAAAAAATAATGAAATAACTGATAGTACCCTTATTCTATTAGGGTCGACTAACAATGTCTGCCTGGATTGGCTACAAGAGTTAAAAGTAGAAATGAGGGGCAATAATAATAATAATAATAATAATAATAATAATAATAATAATAATAATATAAATAAGAAGACTTAGAAGTGCAAATATATACAAAAGATGTGGAACTGCAAAAGCGTATCTGTTGTTCCAATTGTATTTGGGGCATATGGAGCAGTAAATCACTGAGTCAGGCGAACATTAAGAAATGAATAGCTTTTACTGAAATATTTAATATTTTAAAGGAGACGACAAACAACGATAATACATCTCTTCCTTGATTACAATTTAATAAACAATGCGAGTTGTTGCGCAATTTACGTCAATTGCCCGCTTGATCCAAAATCACTGAGAATGAGGAATAAAAAAAATTACCATGTCCACAAAGATTTTCATCTTAATCTTAAAGGAGTTAAATTAATGTAATAAATGTAGTATGGTGCCTATCTATTTTTTTTAGACTACTGATTTATTCATTGATTCATACATTTATCTCCCTCTTCACTTATCTTTGTGTTGATTTAGTAACTATTGTTTGCGTCCGTGTTCTGAAGTGTGACCGGTAACGTTTGTGTGTATAAATTCTTATCGTTTTTTAAGATTAAAAGTGACAGAAAAAACAGTCAATTAAAAAAAATGAAATAAAATAAACTTGGCACCTTACGAACAGCAAAAAAAAAAAAAAAAAAACCGTACCTCGACATTGTGAGTGGTCTATTTGCTCCCATCAAATTCCAATGTGACGTCATCACCAATGAGTACAAACGGCGCCCAGTGAGTTACATCGCTAAATTCTGTGGATTCTCTCATACAGTTCATTGCCCGGTTAAGGGCTTCACTTGCACTTTTTCCTGCGACAAGATGCTGATAGAAATTTTTCATAAACTCAAGAGTGGCCTTGTCGTCAATCGCCCACAATGATACCAGAACAGAACGGGCACCGGCACATAAGAATGCTCGTGCTATGCCGACAACACCCTCCGCTTTGATTTCGCCTTGAGCACTATGACAGCAACTGAGTACAACCAATCTTGCTCGCAGCTGAACCTGCCTTACATCTTTCATTGTTAAAATGAAGTCAGCCTTACTACATGTACTATTTGGCGCCAAGGCAATTTCACCTGTTTCAATATTCCCATGAGCAGCGATGTGCACCAAAGCAACAGAACCGAGTCGTCTTAACACCTCATCCTTCGTGGCCTGTCTTCCAACAAGAGGCGTGGAGCCAACCATTTCACCAATCATATTCACTTCCTCTCTGGCGCAGGGTAGCGGCTTTAGATTTGCCAGATCTTGCACACAAGGATCACCGACAAGAAGTACGCCCGACTTGTGATGGTAATCTACTGGACATTGCGCAATCATTTTCAAGCTTGTGAGGGATGGAGCCACACGGATGCTGAATGATTCGCAAAGGTACTTGGAATCTGGGCTCATGAATGCAGCAAAAGGAGCCAAGCAAAGCGGACCTTCTGGAATAAATACGAGTTCACTGCCTGAAAATAGATCCCGAATAGGATCAATGATAGTGTCGTACAAAGTACACAGGGCTCTTTTTTGAAGATGTAAGTACTGGGTTTGTCTGACATCTTGAGGTGGTCTTTTATCCCTAGCCAATTCAAGCGAGCGATCTTCACACTCCACATTATCACGTACACCAATTTTGTCTACAAGAGACTGAAAGAAAGTTTTGATTTCATCTTGCGAACTGTTTTCTTTTCTTCTTAATTCAACCTCCTTTCCTTTTTGACAAACCCAGAAAATTAATTCCTTCTCTCCAATCCCCATAAATATTGTATTCAGAGGAAGGTGACTGGACAACTCATCAAATGCATTGTTTTCTTGAACAGCATCATTTGCATCAAATAAATAGTTTAATGCCATAAGGTCTTTCAGACTCTGCGCCCGTCCTTGCTCGGCAGAAAACAAAGCCTCCGTAACCTTGCCATCCGCTAACATCACACGCCACTGTGCCGCGTATACTATTTGGTATTGATCACGTAAGCTTATTTTCCATCCATCGTTCAATTGAAGACGATCTCTGATGTCATTTAACAAAGTAATACTGGTCTGGTAATATTCAATAGCCTTTGAAACTTGGCCTAGAGATTCAAAAACAAACCCAAGGTGATAACACGCTACTCCCTCATCCAATCTGTCACCCAATTCTTTCGCAATTTTCAGGTGACGTTCGAAGTATTGCATGGCTGTTTTAAAATCTCCAAGGCGGAGACGGGCATTGCCAAAACCACCATACGCCTTTCCTTCCCCTAATCTATCTCCCAATTCTTTCGCAATTTTCAGGTGACGTTCATAGTAGTCTATGGTTGTTTTAAAATCTCCCAGACTGAGGTGGGCACTGCCAAGATTGCAATACGCCCTTCCTTCCCCTAATCTATCTCCCAATTCTTTCGCAATTTTCAGGTGCCGTTCATAGTAGTCTATGGCTGTTTTAAGATTTCCCAGATTGCGATGGGCATTGCCAAGATTGCCATACGTAGTTCCTTCCCCTAATCTATCTCCCAATTCTTTCGCAATTTTCAGGTGACGTTCATAGTAGTCTATGGCTGTTTTAAGATCTCCCAGACTGAGGTGGGCACTGCCAAGATTGCAATACGCCCTTCCTTCCCCTAATCTATCTCCCAATTCTTTCGCAATTTTCAGGTGCCGTTCATAGTAGTCTATGGCTGTTTTAAGATTTCCCAGATTGCGATGGGCATTGCCAAGATTGCCATACGTAGTTCCTTCCCCTAATCTATCTCCCAATTCTTTCGCAATTTTCAGGTGACGTTCATAGTAGTCTATGGCTGTTTTAAAATCTCCCAGACTGAGATTGGCATTGCCTAGATTGCCATACGCATTTCCTTCCCCTAATCTATCTCCCAATTCTTTCGCAATTTTCAGGTGACTTTCATAGTAGTCTATGGCTGTTTTAAGATCTCCCAGACTGAGATTGGCATTGCCGAGGTTGCCATACGCATTTCCTTCCCCTAATCTATCCCCCAATTCTTTCGCAATTTTCAGGTGACGTTCATAGTAGTGTATGGTTGTTTTAAGATCTCCCAGACTGAGATGGGCATTGCCAAGATTGCCATACGCCTTTCCTTCCCCTAATCTATCTCCCAATTCTTTCGCAATTTTCAGGTGATGTTCATAGTAGTCTATGGCTGTTTTAAAATCTCCCAGACTGAGATGGACGATGCCAATGTTGCCGTACGCCTTTCCTTCCTCTGATCTATCTCCCAATTGTTTCGCAATTTTCAGGTGACGTTCAAAGTAGTCTATGGCTGTTTTAAAATCTCCCAGACTGGGATGGGCATTGCCGAGATTGCCATGCGTCTTATCTTCCCTCGATATTTCACGTGTGTGTGTCACCATCGTGCCTGCAGTTTTCTGAAGTTAAATTAAGTAAAAAAAAAAAATATGTTTGGATGAGAAAATGCCCAGCATGGGTACCATGCTTGCGGTTACAGGTACCGAAACCCTATTAACTGGGCTATTTTGCCTGTTTATATGAACATACTGATCTCAAGTGAATTAGAAAATGTGGAGGGAAGATATCTGTGATTAAGGTAGTCCTGCTGAACCGGGCTCATTTGACGAGAAGAGGGTGGCTTAACTTAGTTGACGCAGTTTGTTTGCTTTCCGGAAGCAGATTTTATTTCGAAAAGAAATTTCTTACTGGAGTAGTTTTAGGTTAACGTTAACTGTTTGTAATAATCGAAAATGGTTTCGGCCATTTCTTTGACAAATAGGTCATAACTAACTTGGAATTCGGCACACCGATAGACCTTACATTATCATTATCATTCCCAAGACTTAGTAACTCACGTGAGCTTTTTTTGAACATTGGAAATATTTGGCTAAATCATTATGGGTTTAAACAGCAAATCAAGGGTGTTCTTCTGAGGTGTGTCAAATATATCTAACCCTGTACGTTTGAAATGACTTTCTGAAGAATAAAATATAGCGACAAACTTAATATTACCTAAATTTAGTCTTTTATTAGTTCACAGTATAATCTAAAAAATTGTTTACATTTATCCTGGTAACATCAGGTTGAAAATGCTCATCCTCAATCACAACAACACTGATAATACAGTGCGTACGTGTTTGATGAAGTAGATGATATCTTGTCTCACTAGAAAAACCTGTTTTAGAAAGTGGTAAATATTCATGCTACAAGTAAGCGCAAGAGCTTCCGGAAAATAATATCTATCCAGGATTAACTCATCTATCTAGAAATAAATACAAATGAGAAACCGCTTTCACAAGTTATTTGCCGGTTACCAATAATTGAAAGCTGGATTATTCATAGAAAGCAACAAAATAACGTTACTTCCCTATAAAGGAAGGCCGTTAAAGGTTTTAAAGTAACTTGTAATTCATGTGATGGATCAGCAGGTTTGTTTCGGACAAGAATAGGACCGTTATTGCCAACAAATTTGCTAAGTTGGTGAAAAGTCGAGTAAAAGTCCTCTTACTGGAAGATGCACTTTTGTTTCTGATGCCGGTGCATTGTTCAATCGTTTCACTGCACCTATAATTGACGAGTCAGTTCTAGATTTGTTTGTGAAGTATTTTGGCTATAAAAGAAATTGAGCTTTAGTTTTAAAATGATAAGTGAGCTGAGGTTCGACTTTTCAAGAAAGAGGAAGAATCGTAAAAAAATCCAAATATCGCCCGGTTAGCGTTCTATCAGCAATCCCTAAAGTCTTCCAAAAGCTGAAACTTGACTTGTTCGGTATCCGAATTTGTCACGTTTCTTTTGGAACAATACAAGTAACTGCGATTTTCTTTGTGGCCATTCGTGTTGTACCACGTTACTCAAATACCCGTAACGGAAGACTGTCTCTTTACCTTAGACTTGAAAAAGGATGTAGGAGTGATCGCGATTTATTTCTCAAAACCATTCGACTCAGTGTGCCATAATCTACTTGCAATGTTGTGACCTTACGGTTGTCAAGAATCTGCCATTAGGCTTATACGATCGTCTCTATCGGACCGTTTCGAGAGAGTTACGTCCAGTGGGTTTTTCTGAATCGCTACCTGTGGAGTTTCTCAAGGTAGACTATTAGTCAGGGAGTTTTGTACGCGCCATTCGTTCTTGCTTTGCAGAAAATATCAATTTTTCTCGCTTAAAATATCAACTCAAACGAACCCTTTTTTGCAGATATGTTTGCGAAGATATCTCAAGTTCTTCCGTTCTCGACACCTCTATTTGTGGACTCGAGAACAATTTTGTTCCCCTGTCACGGCTCTGGACAACTGCTAGGACCTGTATGCTTACAAAAACATGCAGGGAAATTTTGTAATTGTCCTTAAGGTAATGCATTTTCCACTCAAAATTGCTTTAAAGGACCAGGTAATACCTTTGTCCACTCGTACGACACGACAACTGATTGCTGGGTCCCTTTCTTACAACAGCACACAAAAGGTACATGAGTTTGGACTTAAAAATCTCCTGTGTTCGAGAATCGTCAGAGGTGATCAAGTTCTTGTGCGTTTATCGGTGCGACACTAGCCTTCGAGATATGCTTGTCTACAGTACCTTTTCTGTGTACCAAGAGAAAGGGCAGCCTAATACATTTCCTTTTCAACGATCCAGATGCGCGTACACCCGATAATTTGCTAATAACAAGCTCGTAAAAGGAATTGTAAAACAAAAAGGACATCACATGCAGCTACACTATGACAAGTGTCATCTACACAAGTGATCACCAGTACAAAATGCCGAGCTATGTACATTGAATACACTGGTCGCAGAATCGCAGACAAATTCGGTGAGCACCTCCGCTCCGTGGAAGGTCACCATTAACAACGCCTATTTCATTTGTGTTTGCATTTTTTTGCCCCCTGGTAGAACTTTTGAACCTTCCGGACCACAACTGTATCAGCGACATGTTTTTGTCTGTGATTCTAATAATAGCAATGAATTAGTAATAAGGAGACACCAAAAAGGGAAGGAGGAAATAGAACTCATTTTCGCCCAACCTTTTTACCGCGTGGAATAAACACTGAATTTAAGATTTAAGTAGCACGTTGCAATTTGTTTTTAGCTGTCTTGTAGCCAAGCCAACCTACAAGAGCAGATGTCGTTCCAAGATTTTTTTACCAGCCGAAAGAAGTGAGTGCTATTGCAGCCTATTGGAGGTGTTACTAGGATTTTTCCAGTGGTACTGATGTACAGTTTTCCAAATCAACTCTGTCTACCAAATCGTTTTCTTTTTTTACCTCCTTTCCGTGGCTCTCTTGCAGTTTCCTTTGTTCTCTCAAAGCTTTTCTCCGTAATTCCATCAACGTCTTGTTGTTCGGCTCTATCTTGTATCAGTTAAAGTGTTACATAATTTTAATATATAAATAAGCAAACAAAGCTACAAACTTAATTGACTTAAATGATCTTGAGTCACATGACCTTTCGTTGGCGAAAGAAAGGAAGCAACTGTAAAGTAAGTACTGTAGCAAGCAAGCAACCAACAAGTAATTAGCAATCATTGAATAATAGGCTGAGTATGATCTCTTAAAGAGTTATGGAGATCGACGAGGGTGGAATTTCTTTCACATTTACATGTTACTAATATGTTTTTTTTTTGTTCCAACTTGAATTTGCAGTCCGTCTACCCCTCCCTCCCCAGAATATTTTCGTCATAACCTGGGTACACATTGAAAACTGAGGCTGTAGTATAAATTGCAGGAGTGTCGTGTCGTCTTTTTTAACCCAATTAACACCGTGGGTGGGAATTTTCAAGCCTCTCGTTTTAAAGTTGAATAACTTTTGACGGTCATATGGTCTCAGTTTTATGGGCCACACAAAAGGACCTTAAGCAAATGATACTATGTAGCTTAATTCAGCTAGGTTATTCAGACATTGGGGCGTGGTTCTAAATAGTCCGGAATTTGCGCATATGTAGTTACGCAAATTAATTTGCTTTTAATGGGAATTTCTCTCTAATTAGACAGAAAAGGATTAGTTCATTTTTAACAATAAAGGTTGTCTAGCTCTCAAACAGCATTTTCGTGTTAGCGGTACTCTGATGATATTTCCTTCTGTCGTTGCCAGCGGTTTCGTTGCTTTCATTGCCACATAACTGAGGATTTCCTTCTCCCCATCGGCCCCACAGTAAGAAACGCTTTTGCGGCCTTCAATTCGAAAAAATTCGCCGAAAATTACGTCAAAGTGTCTTTTAGAAGCCTGTACACTTGCATATATGACATCATTTTCTGCAATATGTTTTATTGTTCACTCTAACTAGTCAATCAGAGAGCCGCTTTGGAAACGTGCAGGTATTTCACCAGCAGACGAGTGATGGTTTAGACAAACACCTGGTCACACCTGGGCTTACCCAAAATACATTGTCAACACTGAAAGAATGTTTAAGGAATATAACTTTAAAATAGTAATTCGTGTAAAGGATACTGCTAATCCCTTATCACTCCACGCACTGGCTTGGTTAAACTTTTTCAACTTAATGTAGGCACTTGCCGCTGTAAGGGCAAAAAAATGATTGGCAATTGTTTATGTTAAAATGGACAAAATTTTTAAGAATTATAATCGAAAAGTGTAGACATCCAACAGGATGAATCTTATCTCCGCCCTAGCAATAAAAAAAGCAACAAAATATGTAATATGAGTTAGAGTATCTGATAGCTGCAGAGATGCAGGATGGCGTCATTTTACTTTTCAGATCAGAAACCTTTTCGTTTTTCAGTTCATGTTTAAATTTGGTAGTCCCAGCGACGTATAAAATGCAAAAGCCGTAATTTACAAAAGAAAGCTAAAGGATTCTGGTCGTGGTAGTAAATGACGTCATTGTCTTAATGGCCTATTGCCCAAAAGTAGGCCGATAATTACCATCCAAAATGGAGTTTTAAAAACAGCGACGATGAAAAAAGCAGGCGAAGCAGGTGTGTGCTATTACCATTTATTGTGTAACACCAATGAAATACTAGGTGGGTTTTGCGGCGTAAACATGTTATTTCCATATGTGAAAACACCACCATTGCTATGCTTACATAATAAATCACGCCTTCGGAATATTGCATGACCGCTTGGAGATAAAAAATTTTCTCTTCTCGTGTTGAATGATATTCCACTCATTTGCTGCGCTCGCTTGTGAACGTTTTTCACCAATCAAAGAAAAATTTCGTATCTCCACGTTGCAATGTTAAACGTTCTATATCTTTTCAGATAGTTCATTGTTATTCCATTCCGCGAGAAGACTATCTAATGTAATTGAGTCAGTAAGTAAAAATATAATGAAAAAAGCATGGAACTAAATGCATAAAGGAGCATTATAACCAAGATCCTGAAACAGAAGGGATCAGTTGGAGATTGCCTCAAGACGCTTTCAATTACTGAACGCTGGAAGCTTGCATGGCATTTTTAGACACAAAAGTGCCCCCGAAATGTGGTCAAGAACGCAAAGCCCAATAAGGTAATACGCAAACTCCAGTGAACTTGCACGTGTACACAGGGTGTAAGGGTGTAAGGATTAGTTTATTGGGGGGGGGGGGGGGGGGGGGGGGGGGGTTTAATGGGGGGGGGGGGGCAAGGAGCGAAAAAAAAAAGGAAAAAATTAGATAACTTTTTAGAAAGATTGGAAAACGTTAAATGCTTTAACATTCACCCCCTCTTGTTCATTTTTTTTTTTTTACAAGCTTCAGGCACTGCAACAGGCCGTGTGCGATGGAGTGACAAAAAAAAAAACACACAACGCACAAGAACAGAAAACAAAAAAAACAAAAAAAAAACAACAAAACAAGAATATGAGGTGGTGGGGGGGGTGGTGGGGGGGGTTGGTGGGGTGTGGGGGGGGGGGGGGGGGGGGGGGGGGGGGGGGGGGGTTGGTTTAATTAGGGCGGAGGTGCAAAGAGCGCAATCAACTAGGAGAAAATTCGATTACTTCTTGAAAACGTTGGCTAACGTTTCAAGCTTTGAAATTCTACGCCTCAGTGTATACTTATTTATTATTTGAACAGATTTGTAGCTTACAGAGCGTTAATGTTATACGGTCCAAACCTCAGGGGTTCAAGGTTTGAATCAGTCGCTTCCTCTATCCGTATCAGAACACACAATTCTAACTCTTACCTCTCACAAAAGCCTTCAGAAAACGTGGTTGTAATTCAATGGCAACTTTTGCATCATTCACTGTTTCAGAGTAATTTCCTATGAAAATAGATCGCAAAACACACTTTGTAACAACGCAGATAATTATAACAGAACAGAGGGCGAGAAGATAATTAGCCAATACAACGTACTTTGTCTTACGTAACAACTACTAAAATTTTAGCAAGTTGCTGCGTGCACCATTCAACGATGCTGATTTTCAATAGACAAACGATAAATACCTCTTTATTAGCCTAGATCGAGGTCTGCACTGTAAATTACCGACCAAGTTTCCTTTTTGCATCGATTTATAGCCCAAGCGTGAGGCGCGTGGGCCATAAATCGATTGGAAAAATGATGATCCGTAATTTACATTACGGAACAAGAGAACGAGACTAAAAAGATGTCTATTATATGGTTTCCTGCTTAGGGGAACCGGAAACAAGTGCAAGGCATGAAAGTGATTTGAAAATCATTTGACAGGTGTCACGAAAAAATTTTTTAGTGACTCACGAAAATAATAGCACAGTCCAAATGCTTTCCATTGAAAGTACAATCAAAATGCAGCATGTTGAAAAAGGTTATGCGGCGGTCAAAACTAAGAACACTGTAAATTTTAGCTCGCCAATGTAACCGCTGGCGTCTTTTGAAATCTGGACACTTTGTCTGGCCCGAAGTCCCTTCTTTCGTTCGTCTTTTAAAAACACTGTAAATGGCAAAGAAGCTTGTCAATTAGATCAGGTGCAGGAAAGTTTTTTTTTTATTTCATTGTCGAAGGAGTTTCTCATTTTTCTTTTGCAAAACGTCTTGAATCTCTGCCAGTCCATTCTTGTCTTCTTAACTGTGACCGCGATAAATTTTCGATCACCGACTAGAATCCTCTTCTTCGGTAAGATTACAATCTAGTTTTCTTCATCAGCCTCGTTCCCAACTGAAATGAATTCGAAAGATTCAAGTCCTCAGCGTTTACAGACATATGATAACTTTTTTTAGATCATTTTTTTTTCCGAGATAGAAATATTTATAGCTGCAAATGAGAGTAAGTTATTGACCGCAAATTGACCAATCGAAAAACAGCTTAACCATAATAGCCAATATAAATCAACATCTTACCCAAATTAAAATGTGCTGCCGCCCTGTTGCTGTACAGTTTGGCGTTAAGATCTTCATCCTTGCAGTTCACTTTGATTCCTTCAGTGTAGAAGTGAATGGCGCTGTTGAAATTCTTCTTGTTATATTAATCGTTACCTTCGTTCTTGTAAACCTCTGCATTTACTACAACGAAGTAAATTAAATAATTTTCGGTATTCCAAACTTTCGACTGAATGAAAATTGCGTCATTGTGGCTTTTTTGGGTTCCATGTTTTTTCTTTGTTTCACCATAGCCGATCCTTAAAATTGTGCAACTGCTGCACTGTGCTAAATAATAAAACACAATTTAAGTTCACGAAATTTTGATTCGGTTAAATACGGCAGCGTAATGTTTTCCCTTCAGGGTTTCACTGATAAGAATAATAGGGGTTGGGGTAACGGCTTACAGTATAAATCTAATTGAGGCCTCGTCCACACGAATCGGCCTTTGGTCCACACGAAACCATTACTAACGCTTACTGAAACCGCATCTTTTCCCCAGAGTGAAAGGCCCCCTCCGCACGAATCGGAGTGAAAAAATCTGCCGGATTCAAGAATGTCCGGATTCGTGTGAACGAGGCCTACCTGGGTACTCTTTCTCATATCTCCGTCGTCGACATGTTATAAAAGCGAAGAGCCGTTTTTCTCACCTCTTAAAGTGTCATCATCAAACTGAACTGTTTCCTCAGTAGCTGATGTGACGCAAGTGTCAGCTTCTTTTGGAGCTGTGATGGGACTTCTCTTCATGCTGGAAAGCTTTCAGAGTGATGTCATGTTATTTTGATGTTTGCAAGTAATAATTTCTTTAAGCACAGATATTATAAAAAGAAATGCACCGCGGACTCTTTCACATCAAATAAAAAGAGGTCGGGGTACCACGTACTTATGTGGCCTAGCCGGCACATCAGGGACCGCTCTTTTTTATTGGGGAGAGGGTCCGGGGGGAGGAGAACCTGGTGAGATTTGACGGGTAGCTCTTTAGAACTTGATGACTCTCCTTCTTCATTATAATTTTTTGGGGAGCCCTGCCCCTTCTATCCCTAATTAATTGAGATGCCCCCCACCGCCCCTCCCTCCCTCCACCATAAAAAAAGAAGACAAGAAAAATGGAAAATGGCTAACCGGACGTAATCAATAAGACGTTTTGAATGGCCAGGAGAAAAAGGAAAAAAAAAACAGACATTGTCTCTATAAGCAGACGTTGCAAAGGAGTTTGTTGTCAAGAACGAGAACCGCGAGAGAAACTTAACTCAAATTTTTGTACAAAATATTTCCCGCATTCGATGGTGTAGCGAGAGACGAAGTCCATGTTGTTTTTATTTGGTTTGGTCCTCGTTAAAGTGGTCGCTTACGGAAATGGTAGTCTACAGGAAGACTCAGGAAAATGAGCTTAAACTGCACTAATTAACGTAATTACAATAAAGTTGTTACCTTGCAAGCTAAAACTTAGGCAAACAGGCAACTGGCAATAATGTTTCACATCGAATAGCGCTTGAATTGTTGAAACTTTGTACTTCCATTACGTATCAATGTTACAATTCACCTTTTTACCTGCAGATCGTATTATAGCTATCTTTTTTGTGAGTCAACTGCTATAATCTGTTAGCAGGCTCGGCGAGCGCTATCAAAAACTGACCTTTTTTTGTCATCGGAGGAATGGTTTTCAATCTTACGAGAAAATACCAGGTGGTTGCTTAAGGGAACAGAAAACAATAGAGTATGTCAAATTTCTGGTTCAAAAAGTGGTTGCGGTCGTATTAGAAATTTACGAGTGGTCGCTTATACTAGGGAGTTTTTGAAAGAGTATTTGACTGAAGACCAAGGCGGTTATTTTTTTATAATAGATGGCCGCTCTTTGGAGGTGGTCGCTTATGAGAAGTGGTCGCTATGAGATCGAGAGAGAACTACATATACCTTAAACCGGTCTCTATCTGCTCGGAGATTGAAGAAACAAAACGCCTTATTACTACGACAGTTACTACACTGCTCAAAACATCATTTCTTGCTAAAAAGTACACAGCACTAGGAAAATACTAAATGAAGTCAACAACACTTTTATGTTACAGGTCAAATTAAATTCTGGTTAAAAAATTTTTAACCTAGGTTGATTCTTAAAATCTTTTGTTTCATAGCCCTAAATCATGAATAATTCAGGCACCCAACGTCAAAGTTCGGAAAATATCTGTTCGGAAGACGATTTCAGATCTAGAATTTTCGGAACATTTGTTGTAAAATTTCTTGCTTGCCTACCTCTCCTAGGAACACCAATAAACTAGTATAATTGCCCATTTTTAACGGATTTTTATCCTAAAAAGGTCACCTTGAATTTTCGGGAGCCTTTTTTCTGGCTGAATTTTCGAAAAGGTCAGTTTTGATTCCTAGAATTTTCGGATCAGTAGACTTTCAGCTAGTAAATCCGGACAGATGAAAAATTTTTAGGGGATAAAAATATTCCTATACCTGTCGTTTAAATACTAAAATACGTTTAACAATGCTATTTTGAAGTGGTTTTGAACTATATTCTCGTTAGTTGCTCCTGATAATTACGGCTAGGAGAAAAAGCTGTTTGCATTATTACAGAATGATGTAATGCAAAACTGCAAAACTTAAAGAAATTTTTTTCAATGAACCACCCCCCTCCCCTTTACTCCCGCCTACCTTATAAAAAAAGAACGGTCCCTCTGTTGTGCTGATAGTTTTTATATCTACAATTTGTCATGTCATTTTGGGCACTCTTTAGCTTTATCAATATGTCCCGTTTCTCTTGTAGTGTTCAAGCGTACAGAACTAACAAAGGAAACTCTCACTGAACAATGCAGGATAAAAACCACCTGACTGTTAAATTTGCACATTTCATCGAGACGAGAAGCTGAGCTTTATTTCGAGAATTGCCTCCATGAACATATCGACATTGAAGAAGAGCTAAGCTCGATTTCTGCTAATTTTTGACCCAGTTTTCGCACAAGTATTTCCGACCTGTGGCTGGCAATTGATTCTAAGGTAGAGCGGACAAAATTCTAATTGGTAATAATTTGTACGGTGCTGACAATTAATTCTTGACTGCGATTAAGTGGCTATGTTCTAAGTTTGTAAACCAGCTTTCTAAGATGAGTCGCTGATAGTAGTCTTTAGAAAACGTAATGCAAGTCACAGATTGCCAGTCATCAATTACCAGCACAATACTGACAAACGACTTATTGACGGACTCAAGCAAAACTGACAACGACAAAATGACTGGATAACCGACACTTTGCCTAACAATAAACAACTGTTTAACTGTGATAAAAAGACGAATCGAAACGCACCGATGACATTTAGAGCCTTCATTGCCAATAACGTCACGGCCTAACATCTCGACATAATTGACCAATCAGGTCAATAAGCACAGTTTAATACCATCAACAGATCAAATGACGTGATACAACTCACTCTGACTCTGAAGATGACTAACGCGCAGGTTGTTGAAACGTCGATCACTGTCAACAACACTTCTATTTAGACTACGATCAACTGGACGATCATACCCACAACCTACTTATACGTAGATAATTGTTTATAATTTATACACTTCCAATGAAATTAAACCAGAATAAAACTTGGCGCCAGCCAGTATTTTCTTTCTCGAGTAGCTGTTCTTGCTGTGTGATTTGTACCGAGAAGACCGCGAAAGGCATATTTACATCTTGATTGTAATTCCACTCTTTGTAGGCAACGACACCCACATTACTATGAATTGATAAAGTTGATCAACGTCTTTTAATTTTCTAGTGACTAGCAGTGTTGTGATGGCCAAGTGATTGTAATGTCGAGGTCGTTTTTATGAAACTTTGGGGCCTCGGCGTTTTTTCTGCAAATAAGAACACCAAAAATGAACAAGAAGGAAAATATCACACCGTAATCAAACAACAACTACATCTTCAGGTTATTTCCAGCTCGAAGCCCGAGAACAGAGGTAAACTGGGGTAAATAATGTCCCACTTTAGGCAGGGTCATGCACAATATATTTTGCCTATGGAACCTAACGTAGATTGTGGCCAACATACTCGTTTAAGGTGGTTCTACCTAGTATTTGAAAGGCACACGGTCAACGCGGTCGATCTCCAGAACTCTTAAGCTGCTCAAATACCTTAACAGACTGTGCGTTATTGTAAATCGATTATAACATGTTGAATACACAGAGATATTATTAGCGATCTAAATGAAGATCACTTGAAAATGACGTCAAAATCCAGAGAGTTTTAGCTCTTAATCGAAGTTCAGCCCTTATCTGCATTTTCATCTCTTCAGTACCCTAAAACATGTTCACAATTTATTCGTCTCGTAATTTCCATAAATGAGAATATCATAAACAGACACGGCGCGGACTCAGCTCAAGCTCCAGAAACTAGAGCAGCTAGTTACGTTTACTTCAGAAATGTTAGAACAGGGCACTCATATCTTTCTCTGATATTCAGGTAGGGCTTTTAAGTAGGGATTTTAGCATTGTAAATATAGGTTTTCTTTTCCATCTTCACTCAGTTTCTTATGTAAGGCGCACTTGAAAATTTTCAAAGAAACTGCGCGGTACAAACCTCTATTAGTGATGATAATAACTCACCAGCTCACGGAAATCGTTTCCAAGCGCGGGATCGCAGACCTTCTTTTTTCGGTGGGTGAAACAAGAGCCGAGAAAGTTGTCTGCGCCGGTTATTCTTAAAACGAAGCCCAGCTTAGGTCGCGGTTTAAGAAATCATTGGGCCTCCAGTCCCTTTTTAAGTGCGTTATTTCAAGAAATTAGATGTTTCTCCAGTCTACCCTGTTACTGCCACGAAACGTTCACGATAACCGGTGTTAAGGTAAAGGCGTTTAGAAAATTGAAAATGGCTTAGAACACGGTTTGTTAAACACTGGCTAAACTCTGTTTAAATACCTGACCTTTAGTAAGTCTCTTTAGACCTTCTAAAAACGTTCATTTGAAGGTCCACTAGCTTCACTGTAAAATTTGTTTTCAGTTAAAACTCCGTTTTCACGAAAAAAAAAAAATAGTTGAAAATCACGAATATCGCATAAAAAAATTTAAAGCTCACGTATCACGACGAGCAAACCACTCACAGTTCACGGATTTTAATTTCGTATTTTCGCCTTTTCCAAAAATTAAAAGCACTTTATCCGGTATCACGCAATAACCCCTTTCACCCCCTCTTCAGACAACTTTTCAGCTGAACTTAAGCTACAAAAAATTCTAAAATCTATTACTTTCTGTGAACTTGAAGAATAAAAATGGTCGACAAACTGTAAACTCGTGGAAAAATAAAAATTAGCCGGAGGACACTTGTACAAAGTGCTTTCCATTACTGTGAAAGCGCACTGTCTGTCTATTAAATTAAACACCATAAAACGGGTAGTAGTGGGAAGCTCCTAGGCTTATATATCCTGAATATTGATCGTATGCGACTGAAAATAGAGATACCCATGGTGTATCGCTTGATTCTGCTCCTGCCATTGTCCTTCACAGACTATTTTCAGTTGGAAAATTTTAAATTGGCGCCAACGTTGGCGCGTGATTGTGGAAGTACAGTCGACTCCCGGTAACTCGAAGGTCGAACCCTCTATAACTTGAGCCTCCCGCTAACTCGAAGCAATTTTCATTTCCCTTCAGATCAATTTCTATACTAGTAACAGTTGACACTACAGCTGCCCCCGCTCTGTATATTGTCTGTCAATAGTATTCTTGGTCGTTGTGTAGCTCTTTGAAATATACCGATTCA